CAGTTTAGATGTTTGATGCAAGGTAAGACAGTTTAGAAAGGTAGACTGATTAAGCAAGAAGGTTTAAGTGATTACAGGGTAAGACAGTTTAGATGTTTGATGCAGGGTAAGACAATTTAAGTGATTTCATCTACTTTCATACCATTCATGTTGGCATTTTGATTAATATGAGAACCTGAAGTGTTAAGTTTAGATGTTTGATGCAGAATGTAGATAACTAAACCCAGAGTTAGTTCTGCAGTTGTTTGCTCCTTCGATTTAGGAAGGTAGACTGATAATAGAATCCTTGCCTTTGCCCTCTTTTTGGAGCTCCCTTTAATGCAGTTGTGTGTCCTGTGTTCTCTACACATCATGGAGAGTGTCGAGCTTCTTGTCTGTCATGTGAAGGAAGCTAAGACCCAAATAGACAACATATATTGTTGCTTATGAAAGCAGGTTTAGGACACTAAATTCATATCCTGTTATTCAGCTGTTTTTTTGTTGTTTGGAGAGTCTTGCTACCAGTGTATGACAACATTTTAGCATATTTCTCCTTGGGATAATTTATTTGCATCAGGTGGTTGTTGTATGCAGTAAGCTTTTTCACTTTCGGTACTCTCTTTTTTCATATCTCTTTTTATTTATAAATTTGTTGCTATTGTCATTTGTTGGATTCTTGGCAACAGATTTCTCTTCGCGTGAAATAGTATGCTCATAATAGAAGCTTATTTATCTGAGTTCAATCGACAATGAATGGCAGGATGAGGAGACAAGATAAAGCAGCTCGCGTGGAATAGTATGCTCAAAATAGAAGCTTACTTATCTATGTTCAATCGACAATGGAATGCGGGATGAGGAGGTAAGATAAAGCAGTTGTATTCCAATGTAATGTAGATGATTAAAACAAGTTTCCTAGATTTTCATTGTGTGTATATAAAGGGATGTTTGATCAAGTGCAATGATCAATTGGATTTATGTTTGGTTCAATTTGGTTAAAATGCTACAAGCATTAAACCTCTTGATTGTATGTAAACATTGATGAATGACCTTTTATAGTATCATTCACAATCAAATTATATATATAAGGTATGATTTTGGTGATTACATTGATGTTCTAAATGACTTTCTAGCTTTTGTAATGCAATTAATATTGGGAAATATCAATCATAGATTTCCCAAAGACTAATTAAAAATAACATGCCAGTAATGGGAAAGTCGTGGCTATTTAATTTAAAAACCACGGGGTTTGTCGCGATGATAGAGACCATTTTTCATGGGGTATATCCCGTTGTTACTATTAATCACAAGCAAGTTTGACACGGATATACCGTGACAAATGGTTTCGGTCACGGGAACTAGCTCTTCAGTTATGCAAAATCCCATGATCGAAGGTGAATTATCCTGTAATGAGTGTAGGGAGATTGACTGGGGGAGGTGAAAATTCAAGTCCATTACAATATAGAAATAATAAAGCTTTTGCAATAATAAATCTCCTGCGATGTAATTATCGCCCACTTAAATCAAAATGGTCTTGTTTTAATCACTTCTTCTGCGATGTAATTATCGTTGCAAAATAGTTGGACTGTTCTACGATGCATTCATTTCGTCGCCAATTCTAGCCCACCCTCTGCGACGAATTTTATCGTTGTCGAATTGTCCTAACAAACGACGACGAAATATATTATTTTTCATTGCTAAACCCGTCACATCACCTTTGACAAAGAACCAATGGATTCCGCTATGTAACGACAAAAAACTATCCTTTAGCGACGAGTTTATGTTCCGGCCAGACTTCTGTCGTTAAAAGTGCGTTTTATTTAGTGTGGAGGTTTGTTGGGTTTTTCTCTATTCAAAAATATCTAGCTTCTCCTTAATTTTAGGCAGAGTTTTTTTTTCTCCAACTGAAACTCTTAGGGCCTGTTCACTTCTCATTCCGTTTTCTATGATTTTGGCAACGGAAAACGAAATCTGGAGAAATGGAAACTGCCATTTTCTGGAAAATGATTCCTGAAAACTTGATACTGAAAACCTGTTTAGCTGGGATTTTTGTGAAACTGGAAACTGTAAACTGAAAATGAAAACCTGTTTAGTTGGTTAGTAGACCTGGAAATGAGAATTTGTTCGTTTTCCTGACACTAGTACATAATTAAGTATTAAATAAGTAGAAGTACAATCACAAATGTCAAAGGAGTCCAGCTTGGAAGTCATCCCACAACTTGTCCGCTATTCCGTCACGTCGAATTTCCATTTGTCGTGTTCGGCTTGAACTCATACGATACTCCTCTCTTTCCAAAACTCCTTGCACTCCATTAACTCCCTCCTCTATATAGTAATTCTGATATTCTTCAAATAGGATATCTTCACAAGAGTGAATCCTAATGAAGTTATGTAGAGCACATGTAGCAATAACAATTTGTGCTTGTTTCTTTAGTGAAAAAGAAGGCATATGTTTCAGAATTGGGAACCTGGCCTTCAAAACTCCAAAGCAACGTTCGATGACATTGCGTAGGGATGAGTAATAATAGTTGAATAGTTGTTTACGAGTTTTAGGTCCACCACCTCGATTGATTTCTTGAAAATGAGTAGGCTCCTTTGTTCGATATGGTGCTAGGAACCCATGCATGTTTGCAAATCCGGAGTCAACAACATAATACTTACCTACATTGTATATAGCAAGTCAATTAGTATATAATTACATGAGATTTATTTATGTACAAACAATAACAAGTACCTCGTGGTGGCATCGGGAACTTGTTATCTGGATTTGAAACTGTTTCACTGAGAATTCTAGCATCATTTGCCGTGCCTTCCCATCCAGCCACCACAAAAGTAAAAAGCATATCGAGGGAGCATACACACACCACATTTTGAGTTGTTGTCGCCTTGCGTCCTCGATATGGAATTTGTTCAGCAGTAGGAACAGATGCATCAATATGCACTCCATCTATAGCTCCAATGCAATCCTATGTAATCATAAAAGTGGACATGATCAACAAACATGTGTAAATATTGTACTAGTAACTATGGAGTAAGTATTTATTTACCTTGAAATATGGATCATGTCTAGAACCAAAAATTTTGTCAGGGACGTTATCAAAATTTGGTGGAACAATAATCTTGTTTGCAATCTTGACCACAGCTTTCAATACTTTGTCAAAGTACTTTGAGATGGTGGCTGTAAAATGTTGAAACCTTTCGGCAATATCGCGAAATTCATTAGTGTGACCTATAGTCTTGAGGAAGATGGCAACTTGTTCTTCAACTATGACTCTCGTAGTGGACTTTAACCCTCCATTTTGTTTCAACTCCTCACAAAGAGCAAGAAACGTATCTTTGTCCATCCGAAGTTGCTCATATATCCTTGTTGGATTACCATGAAGAAGCTCTTTAACCCAGGCATGCCCAGTTTTGTCTGAGGTTCTACATGGCACTTTAGACACATTGGATCTCTCTTTCTCCAACAACCACAAATGCATCATGAAGATCCCCAAATCATCATCAGAATCAGAATCAGCATCAGAACCAGAAGCCATATGTCTGCATTGCAGAATAATAAATTACAATCAAACTTTATTGAAATTGTGCTTACACCATAATAAGATAATTGTTCAAATAAAACATACAACCACAATCACTCAAACATTCAACTCAACAACATTGTTCAACTAAAACATACATAGCTCAAACACTCAAACACAAACACACAATGTCGGCGTTGTACAATCACACCAAACCTTCCAGCCATTCTTTCTTTCTCTTCTCTGTCATGCGCAGAAAGAGACCGCGCTTTAGTGGATTATCATGGAGAACATCAATAGCCTTGACAAACACACTACCATCCACCTCCATCTCATCTAAAACCTTCATACACTCTGTCATAATATCTAGGTCCTTGTCCTGCGAAGATACTTCATTCATAGGGCCTTTCACAGAAGTTGCAGCAGTCTTGGCATCATGCCTATCATTCTTCCTTTTAGCACTCTCCGCCATGCTAATTATTGCCATCTCTACCGCAGTTGAATAGGTAGATTTGTTTGCTTTCCTCTTCTTGCCTTTGACCTTTGATTTGCCCTTTGCTTCCTTGGCGTGATCAGTGGCATCATCAGCAAGAACAAAACCTTCCTCATTGTCCTCTCTACTTTGTCCACCACTGCTATCTGAGACTTCTTGAGTACAGACAAAAGCATTGCCACCAGAAGCAGTAGTGTCACCAAATATGATGCAAAGGTTGTTGTATTATGGACAACCATACTTCCTAAACCCGGTACAACCTTTTAGACCCTACACATTAACGTTCTAATCAATTCTAAGTTCAAAATCGAAACACATATTTACTGAAATTGAACGAAATGTTCAATTACCTGCTTACTCCACTTCTCCCAATGATCCTCAGAAGCGCTCACCTTTCCCGTTGCAGCAATGTAACTAACTCCCGTCTCACTAATCATGCCCTTGAAATCCCTATGCCTTCTTCTAAGTTGGTTAAATTTATTCTTCAGTTGAAAATCGTTATAGTCCCTGTTAAACTTACTAATTATTCCATTTTTTATGTTGGCCCGTCCTAATTTTGTGAAGGTAGTAGTAATCTTGCTACCCTTCTTCACTTCCTCGACCATCAATTCAATCATAAAATTCTTAACTTGTTCGGGCCATACATCTTTTCCTTCTACCACCACACAGTCATTATCATTGACAGCTTCTGTATTCTCCATGAGTGAAACTATACTAGAAACAACAATCATGATATTATAACCAACAAACAGAACAATCGATAACCACAACAAACAACTACAATCACTATCCCTACTCCATAGATAACCACAACAAACAACTACAATCACTATCCCTACTCCATAATAAAATGAAATTCCAAACAACAAATTAACAACACACAACAGATAAATTCAACTAATCCACATAAAACCATCTACTACCAAAATAAATTGCAAAAATAGAAGAAGAAAAAAAAAGAACAGTGGACTTACTCGTCGGTTCGTCGAGTTGTGGCTGGAGGGGAGTTGATGGCCGTAGGGGAGGAGCAGCCGGCTGGGTCTCGCAGGTTTGCGTCGCCTCGGTCGTTGTTCACCTCGAAGAAGCTGGGAGGAGCAGGAGGCTGGGAGGAGGACGAGCAGCCGGCGGAAAGAAAGATGGCCGCCTCGACAAATCCCGGCCGCCTCGACAAAAGACGGCCGCCTCGACAAATCCCGGCCGCCTCGACAAGTCCAGCTCGGCGAGAGGAGAAAGATAGATGCTGGGCGCTGGCTGCGGCTGGACTTAGAGATGGTGTAGGGTTTTGTTATGTCAATTGAAACGGAAAAAAAAAATGAGGTTGCTAGGTCTCAAAGAGACAACCTCATTAATGAAAACGAAAGAAAACCCGTCCTCTACCATCCAGGAAAACCAATTTTTTCGTTTTCATCAATTACCTCTTTTCCTTGTCATTCGGTTGCCATTAATGAAAATGACAACAAAAATGAACACGTTTCCTCTTCTTTGTTTTCAAATTTTTGTTTTGACAACAGAAAACAGGAAACGAAATAGAAAATAAACATGCCCTTAATTTTATGTTATTTCCCGCCTAAAAATTGATGAATTCGCATTCTGCTCCAAGCTCGGCCTGCTTCATACTTGATATTGTATTATGTTAACTTTGCCTCTAGCCTGTTCATACTAGGCCCAAGTATTTCAGTCTCCCTTAACAATATATACATGGGATATTGACTAACCTTGTCAACCCACCATGAATTTCCTTCTTTTAACAAGAGATAATCTTATTGATTGATAGAATATATAGAAAATCACACCCTGTACCAAAGTCAGGAACAAAAATTAAAGTTGCGACACGAGGTTTGGCATAAAGAAATCGCCTTTATAGCCATACTTGAAAACCATTGTTAAGCGCTAAAACACGTAGAGTTTCCTCGAAAATGACCTCTGAATGATTGTGTCGCAAATCCACTGAATTTATCCTTTCAATGACCATCTTCACCACTCCTTCAAGCAGAACATGAGTGAGACCACGGTCCATGCACCATTGAATGGCCTTCCGGAGAGCAAGGGTCTCAACTAAAGCAGGATTGTCATTATCCTTAAAGGATACTCCCCAAGCCAAACCAATGGAACCTCCTTCGTTTTTCAGGATCATCCCTCCTACAAAATGGGACTCAGCTCGTACCATCCCATCCCACATGCAAGAGATCGAGAACGAGCCACCCAAGCTAGCACTACTCACCGGAGGGAAATGATTCGGAACAATTCTATCTGACGGCAAGTCAACCCATTCCCGAAGTTGTTGTTGGAAATTTCTTGTGGAAAGCTTTCATCTTTTCATTATTGTTTTGGCTTGGTACCAGGTTGGTAGTGAATTGGGAGAGAGCAATACGAACCCAAAGATTGAGAGAGAGATAGGAAGACAAGTCGAAAGAGGTTGGTGATAAGGAAGCAAAACGCAGAGTTAAGGGATTCAAGTAGCAGGAGTGGTCTTTGGAAATAGAAATAATGCAGTTATAATTAATCAGGATAAAGGCCTTTTATACCCTTCCGTCAAAGACTCCCATTACAGCAAAATAGTTGAAGTTTATGTGTGTCCATTGCAGGCTGGCAGACCGTCATTTGTTTGTGAATTGTATTTGTGCGTATTCCCCTCGGAGTCCATTTTCAAGTTAATTTGATTCATTGGAATTGAAAATGAAAGTAAACCATCAAATTGGATTTGCTAGAGTGTAAATGATCAATGATTTATGTTTCATATTAGAAAAGTTTGTTTTCATGTACGTTTGGCTTGTTCTAGACACAATACACATTTGTTTATTTGACATTCATTTTCTTTTTGTAAGATTTGACGTTAATTTTGAAATCTATTTTAAGAAAAATCTTTACTATTATTAAGTACATATATATTAGGTATATGGTGCCTTCTACGGTACCTGTGTGAAATCCAGGGTACTGCATACCTTGAGTATAAAAACGCTATTTAGACCTTAAATTAGCAGAATTTTTGGACATGATACTAAATGCTAACCCTTAATGAGTGAACCCTATGTCCCATTTATTTAAATCATAAACTATAAACCCTTAGATGGTGCATTGATTTTTTTGCCTATATTTGGACGAATCATAACCGTCGATTATTGTTTCTAATTAAATTGATCTTGGGGTATAAGATTTATAGAATTAAGATCTGGATTTTGATCTTTAAGGGTTTTTTTTTTGTCAAAAGATATCATGTATTGATTCAAAAAAAGACAGTTACACCCTGGAAACCAGCCAGGCCTGGAAATCAAAGAAGCGACTCATAGTCGGATACAAAGAAAGGGCTTTCCTAGCTACCAAATGAGCTACCCTATTGTTCTCCCGACCTACGAAGCGCACACTAAAGCCAGGCTACGTACGAAAATAATGACCGATCTCTTCCAGAACAGCACCCAACCGGCTATCTCTTATATCGCCTTGATTAATTTTGTCAATAATCACCTTCGCATCGCCCTCAAACCGAACCTCCGACAGGCCTTGCTCGACACACCAAACTATAGCTTCCCTGAGCACAAGCAATTCCACAGTAGCAGGGTCATCCATTTGGGGAAACTGAACTCCTCTAGCCAGAAGAAGGGTCCGCGCTGAGGTCAGAAGAACCATCCCACCAGCCGAATGCGACCCACCCTTAGTAGCCCCATCCCACATGCAAACCAAATGGGACTCTCCCTCTTGCATTGTGGGATGCATCAACGGGATCGCCATCCTAGGAGCCTGGTCCGCTAGTAGACCCACACATTCCTCAAACTGCTGATTAAATTGCCGCATGAGCGCTGGGATCCCAAATTGTTTGCCTTCAAAGACAACCCAATTTCGAGATCGCCAGATCCTCCAAAGGATGGCAACAACAGCCATAACCACCGACGGTTGATGAATCAGCGCCAACAGGCGTTTGAGGAACAAAGGAAAAGTGTGCCGAGGCAAACCCTCCCCCAAGTAATCCAGCCCTGAATAGTCCCAGAGAGCCCGCGCAACCGGACAATAAAGGAACAAGTGTTCCATCGTCTCCGGACCATCCCAACAAACTGGACACCGCGGTAGGACCTGGATCTTTTTCTCAATAAGCGCCTCCATAGTCGGCAGGGCCCGATTGAGGATTTGCTAAACAAACACCTTCAACTTCGGAGGGATCTTCGCCTCCCAAATTCTAATCCAGCTTGGCTTATCCATCCAACTAACCGAGGATCGCCACCCACCCCTTCTCCTGTCCAGATCAACAGCCAAATGGTATGCCGATTTGACCGAGAAAACCCCGTCTGCCGTAAAATGCCAAATAAGCTTATCAGGCACCTTCCTTCTTGGGAGAGGAATCTCTTTAATAGCCCTACAGGTGGGTGGATCGAACCATTGGCTAAACTTCTCATCAGACCACCTCCCTCCCCCCTCACAAATAACCTCCGCCACCAAGGGATCACCCTCATCAGGCAAGATCCGCGGATTATAACTTGGGGGATCAAATTGATACCTAGGAATCCAGTTAGAATGAAGGAGAGAAACCGACTGACCATTACCAACCCGCCATCTCAAACCCACATCCAATAACTGACGCCCATGAAGGATACTCTGCCACCCCCAAGAGGGACGAGACCTTGAAGTCGCAGTTAGGAAAGACCCTTGAGGGAAATACTTGCCTTTATACACCTGGGCAATGAGAGAGTGAGGTTCATGGAGAATACGCCAGCCTATCTTAGCCAAAAGAGCTTGGTTGAAATGTTCGAACTGACTAAATCCCATCCCCCCTCATGTTTACTCCTGCACATGTTCCGCCAGGAAACCCCTCTCATCTTGGGACTACCCTCCTCAGCACCCCACAAAAAACGGGTTACATGTCTATCTAAAAGCCGACAAAGAGCTAGGGGAAGACGAAAACAGGACATAACATGGAGGGGCAATGCCAAAGCTATGGACTTAATTAATCAAAGTTTCCTTCGCCGCCCACGACAATGTCCTTTGCTTCCACCCTGAAGACGCTCTAGGAGTTTTTCCTCCAAATATCGGAACGTAGCCATTTTGGACCGAGCCACTAGAGTGGGGAGCCCCAGGCATTTAGCATGGACCCCCACTGCACCAACCCCTAGGATTGTGGCCAAGAACTCCTGGTCAGGCATGGAAATATTCTTACTAATTTTAGCACACCGCCGATTTCTCCAAGTTAACACGTTAACCACTCAGTTCCTCATATTCATTGAGCACCTCAATCAAATTCTCGCACTCCTGAAGAGAACCTCGCAAGAATAAGTAAGAATCATCCCCGAAGAAAAGGTGCGAGACTCTGGGAGCACGAGGAGCTACTTTCACCCCCTCTAATTTTTTCTCCAGTATCGCCTTTCGGAGGGGGGCTGCAAACCCCTCCGTGTAGAGCACAAACAAGAGAGGAGAGAGCAGATCCCCCTGGCGAAGACCCCTAGAGGCAGTGAAATAACCCGAGGGTGTACCATTCATCAGAACCGAGAAGGAGGAAGATCTAAGGCATTCATGTATCCATCCTTGCCAGACTGAATTAAAACCCATCTTATCCAAAACTGCAAGAAGAAAGAGCCACTCGACCCTATCATAGGCCTTTTCCATGTCAACCTTCAGAGACATGTACCCCTTCTTCCCTTGCTTTTTTATTTTCAGATAATGCATTTGTTCATGTCCAATAAGGATGTTATCAATAATCTGCCGGTCTTTGATAAAACCATTCTAGCCCTCCGAAACGATCTGAGGGGATGTTATCAATAATCTGCCGGTCTTTGATAAAACCATTCTGGCCCTCCGAAACGATCTGAGGGAGCAAGCTAGCCAGCCGCTCAGCCATGATCTTTGTAATCACCTTGTAAACAAACTGACAGAGGCTTATCGGTCGCAATTGTCTATTTGTTTCCACCGAATCCACTTTATGGATCAAAGTGAGCCAGGTATGGTTAAGACTCCGCAACATCCGACTCGAGGAAAAGAAGGAAATTGTTGCTTCAACCACCGAAGGGCCCACAATATCCCAGAAAGCTTTAAAGAATTTCCCTGTGAAGCCATCCGAGCCCGGGGCCTGCTTCGATCCCATGGAAAAGACCGTATTCCGAACCTCATTAGGCAAAACCTCTGCCGTCAAATGCGCATTCATTTGCGGCGTAACACTATGGTTAATCGGCAGACGCGCCACCCTCTCAACCATATTAGCAACCTGAGTTTCCGAGGTAAACAGGTTCTGGTAAAAGTTTGGGGCAATAGTAGCCTTCCCAGTTTCCTCAGTGACCCAATCACCCTCCTCATTTCGAAGCCCAGCCACAAAGTTTCT